ACTCTTACATCATTCCCTGTATTAGCTTTTAAATAGTAGTTAATTCTATTACTTCGCCTGGAGTCTCCATCTTCAGTTTTCCTTTTTTCATCGATTTTTTTTAACGTGGTAAAGATAAATTGACGCTGTTGTTCATGGGTCATTTCCTAGAACTCTTAATTTATAGCATTTTGTCTTCGTATGTCAATTGCTTGGGTGCATTTTTTTGCACAATTTTCCTACATGTTTTTTGCACGTCATGCTGTGCAATTTTTTCCTCTCTTTTCAGTTTCTTTCTTTCCTGTAACTTTTGCATTTTCGTACTTTTCCTTGTTATGTGAATTTTCGTGACTGATTTGGCAATTCAGACTCCACAGTAAAATCTGGATCGTGTGAATTATCAATAGAATTTTGGTTTAGTCTGCCATGTAAATTATTAGCTCTATATGTAGACATTTTTTGAACTAATTCCTTGTTTAGGGCCAGTAAAACTCACATTTGAATGTGAAATAGTTAAATATAAGATACTTGCCTTGTTCGCTATATCAACAGAATATTAAAATTCCATAAACAACAAAATATCTCTAACCACACTAGCATATACGTCATACGGCAAAAAAACTTAATAATTGTTATCAATATGACTTTTTGATCATTACGACTTAGTACAGATATCAAGCCAAAATGTCGTAATTGAAATATTTTTAATCAGATACGACAATATGACTTGATAATTATCAATACGACTTTTTGACCTGGTAACTGGTCGATTTTTGCAGATAGGACACATAAATATCATTGAAAAACCGTATTCTAAAGATGATACGAATTCTAGACGTTGTCTGAGAGGTAAAACAAACTCTGTTATACCAGTATACCGCATAAGCTGAAAAAGTGAAAAATTGCAGATACGACTTCTTGTCTTAGCAGGGCAGTACACGATTCAGATACTAATGCCGGCTACTAGTGATCAATAGCAAGGTGCAATTTTCGCAGCATCACAATTTTAAAGAGGAAACAATTTTTTTTTTGGAAATTCCATCAGTTCCTTTACTTGTAAGCAAGTATGTTTTATTTACCAATACAACAATTTTGTATAAATTGAACGTATGTAATAAATACAGGGGAGGTGCAAGACTTTTGAAAGTGAGTGTAGATGAAAGAAAATAGACAATGGTGCTTTTGGCTTACCTATATTGCCTACGGTGGCTGTGGGATCGACAGGGTTGGCTTCTTTATACCAAAGGATCTCGGGAGTGGGCGTTCCTACCGCTTGGCAGGTGAGTATGATCGCATCCCCCAGATTCACGTAGATAATATCATCGGGAGTTACCGCAAATCTGGGGGGCGCGTGCACGTCGAGATGGAACCAGGTGCCGTTCTTGGGTGGTTTCGGGGAACGGTTAAGGAACACCACTTTGCATTCGTACCTACAAAAGAACAAAAAATAACTTTAGTTTGCTTTAGATGAAAGCAAAATGCAATTCGACTAAAAACTGGCATCTGACGCGTTATTCAAACTAGGCTCCATTGAAGAAATTCACTGGCTAAACAGAACCATGATTGGGTAAACTAAATTAAGTCCTAGTTGAATAAACAACCCTTTAACACGAATTAATCCAAAGTGTACGTTGGAAGTCGCCTGTTAACAGTCGAACGAAAGGGTATGTGCCTGACATCTAAACTGTTGGTCCTGATTAGGAGTAATTCAAGTAGTTGTGCAACTATCAATTCAGACAGAAGCAAATGTAATTTGAATTTCTCAGAGCGTACAGCTAATTTTCGGTAACATATTCATGGAATTGTAGTGAAGCGGTTGGAAAGCGCCCGAGTACTTATCCGTGAGTGACACAGTGATCTTGCAGTGACATTATTAAAAATTTAGACGGCGGTTTAATTAAAACGTGCGGAAATGTCCTACTCCTGTTGCTGCGACATGTTAATTGATGCGATTTCCTCACCTAACTTGGCGCTGAATAACGGAAACGATCTGAATTATTCTATTTCGGATGTTCACAAACCCAAGATCTCTTTGGGGACAGCTGCATTTAACTAGAATCTTTATGCTTGAAAAAGGTATATAAGAAGGTTGTGAACATTTGGATGTTTTTTTTAAGCCAAAGGAAGATTTACTTTTAAGGAAAAGCAGAGAAGTAAATGAGAAAAATGATGAAATTTACAAATAACCCATTGAAGAAGGTAAGAAGGTGAAGATCGATTTAGAGCATATCAAAAACAGCAGAAGTTAAAGAGCGGCTAAAGAAACAAATAAACGATACCTACCAAGGTAAACGTAAAGCAATAAACTAAACCAAACCAAGGTAAAGTTAAAAATAAAAAAGTTTAAGCTCTTGGAAATGAATTACGCAAAACTTGTAAACTGGAATTCTCATCAGAATCTTAGAAATAGTAGAAACAATAAGATTTCAGAGTAAAAAAAGAAAAACATTTTTGAAGAACTGAAGCAAAAAATCCAAGGATCCGATGAAGAATGAGAGAAACAATTGGGAAATTGGAAACATAATGTCAAGGTAATGAAAAGGCGAGATTGAAATTGAAACTTTAGCCCTCTCCATAAAGTATTTTTTCTGTCGAGTTTGAATGCCACCAAGAAACAGGTGGATTGGAAAAGCCAATGAATTGGCCAGCATATTCTCAAGATTCAGCTCCACTACATTTCCTTGGAACTATTCCACAAGCAAATTTCACTACAAAATGTAATTCAGTAGATGAAAAAATAATTTTATTAATAACTCAATGAAAATCCATCCTGTTTTCAAGGATTAGTCGAGTTTCAAATAACTAAGCATATGTTTTATTATTTTATAAAATAAACTGTAAGAAATCCTCTCTCACCAACAATCCTACATTTACATCTGTATTAATACCATCAACAATCAAATCGACATCAGAAAAACGACCAGAAGAAGATGGATATGAAGAAGTCCTTAAAACCTTTGCGATTTTCAGGCTTCACGCACATTTCTGCTATTTATATTGGTTAGTTGAAATTTTTTCAGGAAGAGTCATTTGAGAAAAAGAAGACCTCATATATACACGATTGGTTCTTCTTTAGGTCATTTGGTTAGAGAGTATATTAAGCAAAAATTAACTAAACATTCAACAGTTTGCTTTTAATCTCAACATTCATCAGTTTTTAAATAGAATGTTACATACTTTTTTAATTGCTTTTGTGTGGACTTTTATTTTCTCTGGGATTGTGTGCTATTTGTGAACCTAAATAATTATTTCTGCTTTTTTTGGGAATTTTATCCAAGTTTTTAGGTGCAGCAAGCAAACTAAGGATTTTGGGAAAATTCACATTTGGTCATTTTTTGCATTTCTTTGCTCGCAGTTTTCAAGTCTTCAGTTCCTCGTAAATCGAAGCATTCAAATTAATTTCTTTATGCTAAAATCGTAAAAATTCAACATTTTGAACGAGTTGATTTAGTTTTTTTTCCAACTTTAAGTTATTATCTGTGTTAGATTGGGTTAACTTCGTTTACTGAAAGCCAGGTGAAAATTGACTTTAAATGTTATTTGTGGCGCTAATTGGAAGATAAATAGCATTTTATGTCTGTGCGAAAAATTGTAAGAAGCAGTAAAATTCAGAAACTTGAGCAAAGCTAAACTTTTGCCTTATTTTGCACCCTTATTATTTGTCTTAATTTGGCGAAAAAATCGTAAAAATCAGTATGGAATTGGTGCGTTTAAAAAGTTTTTGGTCTTTATTTAAAAAGTTCTTTGGACTTTAAATACGTAGCCAAATCTCAGAAGGTGATTCTTTCAGTGCCTAACGAGAAACGCTTATACAGGAGGCCCAGTTTCCAAATACTATAAAGAATCGAAAAAAATCACGAGTTTACTTTGTAAATTATATTCTGGAAACGTTTAGTCAAGGAAATATAGAGTGTTTAAATTTGGCTTAAAAATCACGTTGATTAATTGTTGCTTTATGGATATTTAAACGAATTTTTGCACTTTCCAAGCAGCAAACTACGTTTAGACAACTATTTTTGTTACTTTGTCATCAATACTAGCATGTTAACGGATGTTTGTAAATATAAACATTAGACGCTACTGTTTTTCAATAAATTCATTTGTTAGACGCCGTCGAAAATGTATTGAAGTGAGTGAACCACATTTATAACAATTTCTTCAATTTTTCTTGTACTCCACCGATTGAATTTGTGATTTAACGAAATACTATCGACGATACTATTAACGAACAAATACAACAATACTGCAACAATACAACAACAACAAATACTATTAACGAAATAATTATCAAATTATTGCCAACTATTTTTTCCTTGCAAACTCTGAGCTGAGCAGAGAAATTGAAACAAAACTTTTCCTTCAAACTGAATGAAGAATTCAAAAGTGATTTTAATTCTATAAAAAAGCAGCGACGGATCATTAAATTTTTTGTATTTCGTCAAAACAACGACATACGATCGATTTTCTATCACTTTCACTAAATAAATTTTGCCGCGGCTCAGGCTCGGATCGGACTTGGCTTGTTAGGTCTGGACGCATCATAACGCCCCGTTGTGTTCAATCTACTTCCATATTCAAGAATCTTCTCGATTTTCTCAACTGCTTTGGAAACGGGTTTAAATGTGGAATTTGTGCCCTTCGGGCACGATTGTTTGATGTAAAGCAAAAAGGCCTATTAGGCAAAATTAAATAGAGTTCAGTTCTTAGGTAATGGGTAGGTTGAAAACTGATCAATACTTACCATCCTTGGTCAGATTCCCGGATATCGGTAAGGTTGAGTGAAGCGGCCCCATAATTGGAGCCCGCAGGAACGCGTCCGACACGTCCCTCGTAGCCTTCGGCGCTATGAGTTGGATAACTTTCGTACCAGATGTAAATCGGAATGTCCACCCCCTTTAAAAAGTACTCAATCAGGGTGCGGCTCTTCTGGTTGAAAAAAAAACAACGAAAAAATGACTTTAATCCACGTTTTGCACTATTTGTTGGTGTATTAGTACTGCTGGAAATGTTAATTAAAAAAGGACGGGAAAAAATCTGCTCACTACTAAACGAAAAATTCAATAAAATATTTTTCAAATAGGTCGTAAATAATCACAAAAGCGACGAGAATTGCCGGGAAATATCAACCCTCAGGCTAAATGCACTCATTTTTAATATAAGCGATTTTAGGTCATTAAATTTTCAATGGTGGGCTTAATTAAAAGCCTCGCATCGATATGCGATTTTTTTGTGCTGCAGCCTGTTTTGTACTTTAAGTGGACGCAATTTCACCACGAGCCAATTAGCAATTGATGTACAATAAAAGAGACACCAATAAATTTGCAAAATAAATCTAGGAAGCWGCAGTTTGATTAGCTCAATAAAAATATATCATGTACATTTTCCTGACTGTATTTCCAATTTTGATACAATTATATAATAATAATATTACAAAGTATATAATATAAATAATAATATTTGGGACTCAAAACTTGCCTAGCAACAGCTGCCTACACGAACAAACTGATGATGGTGGAAAAACACCGAAACGTTTTTAATAAACTTGACTAAATTGTGATATTCTATATCGATGACAGAAACCTAGGAACATTGTTTATATTAAAATAGAAATATAAAAAAAAGTTATTTGGATACCATTGAAGCCCTAAAACCGGGCTCTTGTAGTCATCAATCAAGTGTTCAAAACGGCATTGTATTCATGCCATTTGTGACTAATTTATTGATTATCAGATGTGGTGATAAACATGGTATCAATTCAAGTAAACTGGGCTTTGCTTGTCGATCAATTACACTAATGTTTTAGAGAGAATCAACCGCGTTTAATCGATCTATCCTGGATAGTTTAATAGGACTTCACTAATAGAACAGCCAGAAGGAAACTTTTACTCATTAGCCAAACAAACCTTCTTAATCGATTCGAATCAATCTGCATGCAAAAAAAGGAAATTGTTAATCAACAGGAGGATGATTAATCAGTAGCAATTCAGAGGCTTTTCATTAAATGGCTCCAATAATTAGAGCAGTTTAACGACGGAAAAGACATAAGTTGTGAAGTGTAAAGAAAAATACCAAAAGAAAGCCTATGGACGAGATAAATCAAAGCAGTTTTTTAGAATGTCAATACAAGGCACTGGGCGGTCCTAGTTTCACTTCATTTAAAGTCATCCTCTTCTCGATCTCCAAAAAATTAATTTTCTGGATAACTACAAAGAATTGCCATATATAAAAATCCAGATTCCTCCAAAGTCTTGGAATCCACCTGGTTTTCTAATGACCAGCTTTTTTCAACCATTGGAAATTTTCGACGAGTGGTTCGATCCTTAGGGTACGTACACACTTAGCGTAGCGATGCGATTGAAGACAAAATAGTTTGTGTCTTGTCGGCGATCGCAGCGATGTTTGGACGCTAAAATATGAGTGATGTCTCTCTTACTGACCCTGGCTGACTTTTTTAGAAAAACTCACTTTCATAGGAAATTTGTGGGAGTTTCCAGGATTTTTTCGGTTACTTAGGCGAGTCGACTGACCGTTGGCAAAGTCCAGTTTTTTAAAAATTCGTCAAGGGAAAACCAAAAATTCTTGTATAAAGGAAAAATAGGCTGATTTAACTGAGGAAAAACTCACTTGAATAGGAAATTTCTGGGAGTTTCCAGGATGATTTCTGTTACTAAGGCAAAGCGATTGGCCGTTGGTATAGATAGACGGATTTTTTTTTAATGTCAAGGAAAAACCATCTCAAGCCTGCCCAGAATATCGTTCGCAAGAGCAAATCTGCCGCTTTAAATGAAGAAAACCTCACTTTAATAGGAAATTTCTGGGAGTTTTCAGGAATTTTTCAGATACTAAATCGAAGCAATTTCTTTTCGAACAACACGGATTTTTAAAAAATTCGCAAAGAGAAATTCCGCTGCTTGAGTGAGGAAAAACACACTTTAAAATTAAATTTCTGAGAGTTTTTAGTATTTTATTAGTTACTAAGGCGAAGCGATGGCCGTTGAAAAGACCCACTTTTTCAAAAATTTGATCAGAAAAAGCCAAAAATCCATCAATCCGGCTCATAATATCACTCAAAAGAGAAAATGCGCTGCTTTAAGTATGGAAACGCACTYTAATAGGATCTTCCTGGGAGTTCTTCCAGGATCTTTTGAGTTTCGAAGGTGAGGCGATCAGCCGTARGTAAACACGGATTTTTCAAAAAAATTGTCAAGGAGAAACGAAAAATCCTCAAGACTGTCCATAATATCTCCCGAAAGAGAAAATCCGCAGCTTTAAATGACGAACAACTCACTTTTATAGGCAATTTCTTGAAGTTTCTAGAATTTTTCGGTTACTAAAGCGAGTCGATGGCCAATAGAAAACACGAGATTTTCAAAAATTCGCCAAGGAAAAACTCAAAATTCCCTTAACACCACTCTAAAGCAAAAATCAGCTGCGTTAACTGGGCAAAAACTTTGGGACTTTTCGGGATTTTTTCAGTTACTACGGCGATGCGATTGACCGTTGGGAAATTCGGCTCATAATATCACTCGAAAAGGAAAATGCGGTGCTTTAAGTGTGGAAAAACGCACTCCATCTGATTCTATCTAGCCAAAATAGCAATAGTGGCAAAAACACTTTTTCTTCTCCGAAAAAAACAACTTTTTTTTGACAAAAAACGGGTTAGCTTTCTAAAAAAAGATACTAGAAGAGTTGCGGTGCATAATGCATTAACCATCGTCTAGTTTTCCACAGAATCGATTCATTTTAAGAGCCAATTTAATAACGTCAACCAAAATTCGTCATCGAAGCTGATAAGTCGAAATAGTGGGAAAATGTAGTGTCAGCGCTATTCTAACTTATGACATTACAAATCAAAACTTGTCTCGCTTGGAGAGGCGAGATATCCGGAAAATTGGGTGAAAATTTCGCTGACTTCACCATTATTTGGGCCCGAAATGTGTTCGAAGTGACCCCCTTATGCATGTCCAGCTAAGGCTGATGAAAAATCCCCCAAAACCAACCTGAACATAAACTTTTACTAATTAAAAATTTTTACAAGCACTTTTCATAATTTGTAAAAGAGGAAATAATGAGAAAGCTGCAGGCGTTGTATAATGGCTCTTTGTGCTGCGCTTTTCCGTAAGATTAGATATAGGCTGAAGGAAGACTTTTACTGGCAATTTCTTCAAGCTTGCACGCCGGTTTTTACACAAAAAACTTACATGAAAAAACCCTTAAAAATGTACTTGTATTTTCAGGTAATTTTACCACTCAGTTTTATTAATGATTATTGCGTTTTAATGAAATTTGACCTCTTTCTGCATATCATTGATTTTAAAGTAACTTAAATGTGAATTATTTTAGAGTTTTAACATTTAAACTTCTGAAATTCAATCGATTTAAATATATTAGAAGCGAGTTAAAATCAACGTTTTCTGTGCAGTTCTTAAGCGAACTGAAGCTGAGCACTCTTTTTTAAAATCATAGGCTGTAAATCTAGTTTTTCAAAATGTTTGTTTTGTGGGGTACACATTTATAGGTCTACTGAACGCTAGTTGAAGAGACAACTATTTAACGATAACATAACAAGCAAATATTTATAATGATAAAAATTATTTGAAAAATAATTCGTGTTTTCTATCAAAATCAACATTTTCTAGGACTGCATAATTAAATTTAATTGATTTAAATATATTAGGAGGAAATTGAAATCAACTTATCTAAGCAATAATTCTTCTAAGCTCACGTGTTCTATCAAAATCATGATTTATTAAGAATTGTGGTCCAATTTTTACTTACGTTTTTTAAATGGCGTTAAAGAAGAGAAATTGGAGAAATTATTATAAAGCTATTTGAAAAGTCAATTATTATTAAAGAAACTTTTACGGTTGTTAAAAATACTGCTTTTGAGTTTATTGGAATCACATTTGCAAACAAGTTATAGAATAGCTGTTGAAGTCGAAACTCAACGGTTAGTAAATGAAAAATCAATTTTTCCCATCTGGAACAACCGTTGGTTAAGATGTAAGTAGATACAGACCTCCAGTTGTGTTAATCTCAGCCACCCCCAGGGCCAGTTTCAAGCTTATTAGCTTTCATTGCGGTTTAGGCTGAAAGTAAGACTGCGTGCAGACAGAGACTGTTGATATAAAAACATCTTGTTAGACAATGAAAGCCGAATATTTTAGAGTTTTTCTGAAAATGGTTAAAGATACTCCCATCCGAAATATTTTGGTAAAAACGTATGGGAGTGTTATTTTCAGGCTGAAGAATTTGAAGATCTGGAAGTGTGTTTTTGTTAGTTTTCTAAAGGGTGTTCCATAAGCACGCGACCAAAGCGGTATTGCCATATTCTTTGGGTCCAAAGAAGACGATCTGCCTTAAGTTTTACTAGGAAGAAATGCCTGGTTCCTCTGCTATTGATGGTCAAAGTTCTTCAAACAAAAACCTGTTTTTCTGAAATATCAGAACTTTTTATTTGGTTGCTTAATATTGTTTAAACAACTTTGAGGCACAATCAATGGCAGAGGAGGTAGACATTTTTTCAGTAAAACAAAGAATGGTGCTAATGGGTTTTCCGGGTTTTATGCCGTGGTTCGGTAGAATTTCTACTTGACGTTTCGCAAGCACGAGTGGCTTGCATCTTTAGAAGTGGTTTACTTGAACGCTTACACTGTTTCGTTGCACGATCTTACACTGATCGCTCATGTGATCAGAACAGTGTAAGCGTTCAAGCAAACCACTTCTGAAGATGCAAGCCACTCCTGCTTGCGAAACGTCAAGTAGAAATTCTACCGAACGACGGCGTAAAAACCGGAAAAACCCATTAGTTTCAAGAAATGGCCTCGAAAGTCTATCTATTTGATAAAGAATGGTGCCCTTTTGATCATGTGCTTATGGAACACCCTTTATACAGCCGCAACGTTGCTGATAAATTCGCTTTAAACCCAGTAAACTAATATACAAAACTTACCAAAGCGTCCTCTAAATCCCTTTTAAGTATGAAGCAACACCCATTTAATCTACTTTAAATATGAAAATAGCGCATTTTTCACCATCCCAACTGGAAATGTAATAAGCTGATTACAACCAGAGCAATAGAATAACTCTGATGCGTTTTGCATAGAATGCCCACCAACCTGTAAAACTAGAGAGACAGAGGAATTTAATGAAATTTTCAGCTTAATCGGATTAAAGTCATTTCATCGTCGAATTTCAACAAACTATGAAAGCATGATAAACGCGAGCCCAAGCATTGAACTGTAAACAATAGCATGCAATAACAATGCTCTATTTACATATTCGCCAAATGCCGACGCTACAAGTATTTCGATTTCGTTGCCTCTAACTAATCAAATAGAGCGACGGAAAGGCTTTGCATATATAAAGAAACTCTAGCGAATTAAATTGAGTTTGATCCGGTTAGAGATATGGCGTTAAGAATTTTTCAGGAATATTGACACACTCGATAAGTTTAAGACATTTGACGAATATTGCGGATATTTACCCACCTTCATTCGAAAGCTACATTTCCAGGCAAAGTGCTTATTACAAAGGGGCATGCTTCTAACTAAAGCTGCAGATCGAGATAAAGAGAGACAGATTTACGGATGATGGGGTTGGTGTTGTTAGTAGTTGTGCAACAAATCAGACTTCATATATTTACCATTCTAATCTATTTAGTTCGATAGTTCAATGATAAAGCGTTGGAAGCACTGATGCATTTTCCCAGTGATCACTTATCGGCATTTAAAAGTTAATTGATCAATTTTTGAACGAAATGCAGCAATCTTTCAACGTGGAGACACAATGAGACATGATCTAACACATGGTGCGAATAGAAATCGGTTAATCTGCTCTCTATATCCTCATTTCAAGGACTTTGGGCCAGTGGTTTGCACGATGGCACCCTCAACAATACTCAATATGAGCCTCAAATGTTTATTGCAGTCAGCATACTTCGCTCTGAAAGCACTTATTTTCCCAACTGCGCTGAAAAGTGGCCAACAGTATCAAAAATCAAACTTTATTTAGTTTGCATCCGATTCCATCAAACTTTCCGAGATTAGTTATGAAGAAAAACACGATCAAAGTTATATAATGAGAGCTGGCAATTAAAAACCCAACAAAAAATGTATGACTTAACTGCGTTTTCTGGACTTTTTGGAAAACGTATCACAGCCCCTTTTGAAACATCTGGAACTGAAGTCTTCATTCAATCAATCAATCACGAAGAAAAACAGAACAATTGCTGTTTGAAAAAATCAACTCGAAATGCGTTTGAATCGTTTAACTCAGACCAGGGCAAATAATTGAGTCAACAGCAAAGTAAACGCAAAAGAATGGAAGAAACTTTAACAGATTCTTCAGAGCATCTTCCTTGTGAATGTGGTTATAAAATTTAATCAGGCCAACATTGGGAGTAGAATGGGCACTAAACAATTCCTGTTTTGAATGTACCCAACATTGAGATACAGCATCGTGACACAGTCATATTTTATTCATAATTTCAGCCAACACAATTTCGGTGTGCATATTTAGTTTACGACGTATCTGCAAACAAAAACACCTTTTAGCATGAATACATAAATTAAAATAAAGTGGCTATTTCGGCGTCGGCAGAGTCGCGGTTGCGAGTGCGGTTTTATCCATTTAGGGATGTAAATGCTTTCAGGAACGAGAAATACTGACTTTTATATGGAAAAAGTTTGTCTTGCAGCCACGATGAAGAACGTAACGATCACTGAGGAAAGAGCTGATGCCACTAATCACTCGACACTGATCAGCTGGGTTTCAGTTTATTCCATTCGCATTCAGTCTACTTTTAGAGCACTTCCAAGCACCGTAATACTGATAACTTATTCACTTAGATAAAACTTTTCAAATTCGGTTTCGTGCGGTTAAATCCCTTAAATAGAATATAAAGCTCGAAGGAAAAGTCCTTTATATTTCTGCTTCAAGAACAGTGGTGGCTCGGTCAACACTACAATACTTAAAGAATATCTTTTAAACTCTGTTGGGAATTGCTATAAATATACGAAGAAAAACATCACAGGTTTTCCATTAAATTTGCTCTTCTTCAAATGATAAATTATATAACTGAAAACCTTGTAACTTGAACTATGAACCTATGAACTGAGAAAGTTTAAATGGTCCGTTTGCTCTAAATTGGAAGTCGGAATTTTTTCAATAAAAGAGTGTTTTTGGGCTAAAACGCTTAGTTTTATGCCAAATTTTCCGAGTCGGCAAAAATCAGAGATTAAAGCGATTTGGGCCAAATTGTCCGTATTTTGAGCTTCATCTGTCTGCTATGAACTGAGAAAGTTTCAATTGTCCGCTTGCTCTAAATTGGAAGTAGGGATTTTTGAATAAAAGAGTGTTTTTGGGCCAAAACGCTTATTTTTATGGTAAATTTTCCGAGCCGGCACAAATCACGGATTACAGCGATTTGGGCAAAATTTTCCGTATTCTGAGCTTCTACTATGAACTGAGAAAGTTTCAATTGTCCGCTTGCTCTAAATTGGAAGTTGGGATTTTTTGAATAAAAGAGTGTTTTTGGGCTAAAACGCTTATTTTTATGCCAAATTTTCCGAGTCAGCGAAAATCAGAGACTAAAGCGATTTGGACCAAATTTTCCGTATTTTGAGTTTCAGCTCTCTGCTATGAACTGAGAAAGTTTCAATTGTCCGCTTGCTCTAAATGGGAAGTCGGGATTTTTTCACTAAAAGAGTGTTTTTGGGCTAAAACGATTATTTTTATGCCAAATTTTCCGAGTCGGCAAAAATCAGAGATTATTGTGATTTGGGCCAAATTTTCCATATTTTGAGCTTCATCGGTCTGCTATGAACTGAGACAGTTTTAATGGTCCGTTTGCTCTAAATTGGAAGTTGGGAGTTTTTGAATAAAAGAGCGTTTTGGGGCTAAAACGTTTATTTTTATGCCAAATTTTCCGAGTCGGCGAAAATCAGAGACTAAAGCGATTTGGACCAAATTTTCTGTATTTTGAGCTTCGGCTCTCTGCTATGAACTGAGAAAGTTTCAATTGTCCGCTTGCTCTAAATTGAAAGTCGGGATTTTTTCAATAAAAGAGTGTTTTTGGGCTAAAACGATTATTTTTATGCCAAATTTTCCGAGTCGGCAAAAATCAGAGATTAAGGCGATTTGGGCCAAATTTTCCATATTTTGAGCTTCATCGGTCTGCTATGAACTGAGAAAGTTTYAATGGTCCGTTTGCTCTAAATTGGAAGTTGGGGGTTTTTGAATAAAAGAGTGTTTTGGGGCTAAAACGCTTGTTTTTATGCCAAATTTTCCGAGTCCGCAAAAATCTGAGAGTAAAGCGATTTGTGCCAAATTTTCCGTATTTTGAGCTTCAACTGTGGTCTATGGACTGTAAAAGTCTCAGGTGTCTGCGTGCTTCAGATTGGAAGTTAGGACTTTTTGTTCGAAGTTCGTGTTTTATTGGAAGTCATATTTGAAGAGCGCACTGGTTAACACATATTTTAAAACAATTTAAGCACTTTTAAAAATGGAAAAAATTAATTAAGGTTATGGCGCTTATTGAATTCGCTTCAATATAAAATACATAAACATAAGCATAATTCTGATTTATGATAAAGATATTGATCAATCAAAATTAAAACACAACAAACATCCACATATTAAAATCATTTCAAATTTTCAGAAAATCTTCGCTAATGAATTGTAATTCTATAAATGTTCCTCATGGTTAAATGATGGCCTTATGACAACGGGGCTTAAGAAATCTTTATCATTGCGAAACATTACGTGGATGGAAAAAATTGCTTGTTGAAATCGTGAAAAATTAAGTTGTGATTGGCTGATTGAGATACTGAATTTTAATTTTTTTCCTTTCCAGCTCTGTCGCCCATCTTGCATATTTCCCCGCTTTAAAACACAGTTCAATTTAAGGATTCAGGGAAAAACCATTTGATACTTGAAACAACTTTGGACAAGTTTGCAAAACTTTTCTTAATCCATAAAAATCGAATTTGATTAAACTGGTTTCCTAACGCACAAAACTGCATTGAAACCGCTTTCAATAGATTTCGAAACAGTTTCTTAACAATGCAGTGGCTGGCGAAACAATTCGAATTAAAATATTCCACGAGTAAATTACACTGCTGCATTAAACCCATGGAAAAATATGCGAATTTTAATTTAGAGACTCCATCTTATCGCACATTTGCATTCTGCACTCATCTCAAGAAGAGCCAAGGAATGGGGAAAATTGTCTGGAGACATCGCGCTATTGAACGCAATTTTCCTAAGTATTACTGGCCCATTGATCTAAATTAGCAAGTTTTAAAGTGTCATTTTCTTTCCTCAGTGTGCGCCCGTTAATTCTCCATCGTAAATGTTCCAAACCTACAGATGGGGAGGACGGTTCGAGTCCTCAATCCCCACCAGAATACGTAGTAGAGAGCAGAAATTTGAAGAAGTGGGAAGCATGATCGTACCGGACTGGTTACCTTCTTCTCCCACTGTAACACGTACGGAACCGGATGTCCTTCGGGGAACTCGACCTGGCAATTGAACACCACTGATTCTCCCAGAATGGCCGTAATATGCACTGCATCTTGGTAACCGCCGCCACTGGCACTATTTCCTGCCCCATCTTCACTCGTTTCGACGACTTCTGGCACTGTGTTAGCTGAAACTAAACAAAACTCCCTATTAAACACTGCATGTTAATAATTTAAATAACATTTTATCGTTGCTCGGTGCAACAACCACCTCGGATGATTCGTTCTTGCAAAAGATCAAGAAGAAATATCTTTTTAATCGTTAGCTAAGAGAAAAGTTAGAAAAGAGAAAGTGAGCACTTCCAGGTACTCGGATCATTTTAGTGGGAATTGAATTTAAAGACTATGTTTGAAACTCTCAATTTTTTTCAATTAACAGTGTGCTGAATGTATAGCTTTATCCGTAAAACTGTATTTTTTATGTGCTATTTAATGGGACCTGCCGCGTTTGCTGATATACTTCAATAGTGAATCTATCTGTATATATTTGCTGCATGTTCATGTTCATTCAGTTCATGAAACTGATGAAAAAATTGTAATATAATAATACTAATAATATTTAAAAAGCGAAATACAGAGGTTTTAGAGAAAAAATTAAATATATCCAACGATAATTTTATAATTATAGATACTAATTAAAATTTGGCCTGGTAAACAAAGAAATAATCAATCGGTCGTCAAACCTCTGCTTTCTAAGGGCTAAAAATCGGTTACATCAAAAAACGTTCCAGCCTGGATAAGAACAAATTCCAAGCATAGAAAAACTATTAAAATTTACCAGAAGGAACCTCTTTACATAAAGAGTACCAATGGCGCCGATTAGACGAAAAAATTGATTGTGATTTCTTATGATTAACAAATTAACGATTTAAAGATAATCTAAAAATGTAAAATTTTGCATAACATTTTAAAATACATAAAAATAATCAGTGTGAACACTGCGGCTAGTTTGGGATATCGAATTAGCATGTTCTTCGCTTTAAACCAGTTGCATAAGGATGACCTATAATTTGAATAATTGAAAGGTATTGCAGTAGTCTTAAAGCTGCATTTTCATTTAAAAAGGAGCAATTTAACGGAAAAAATTCTATTTATTTTGCTGAGAAGTAGTGCTCAAATAAGGGCAATTTCTCAAGAAACTGCATTTCGCGAAACTACTCGGCGAGCTCCACTTTCAGCGACTCGAAACTTTATTAAAAGCAAAAACGGGAAATGGAAAAATCTAATTTAGGCAAATGGACGAAACGTGTTTTATGAATAGCCAGTACCAGCATTCGTAGAAGAAATATCGGGCATCGAGTTGCATTCAATGGAATTTGCAACGTCGCTATATAGAGGGCGATTTGTTAGTTTTTTGTATAAAAAAATGTTTTCGCTTATATTTGAGCTATTTTTAAATTTCAAAATGTACCGTCGAAGGAGTAGAAGACATGAATCTAGTTGTACAATTTCATACAATTTTCGGTGTTTTCGTTCCATTCCCATTTAAGGCAGGCTTCTGGAGTAAAGGTAAAAACGCTCAAGTTAAACGTACGAAATATTGTTATTATGCATGCTCTTAACAACTTTCTCAGCATTGATGAAATGCTTTTATTAAAAGGCAAAAAGATCAAATTGCAAGCATCCTTTCAAGTGAACGATATTGAGAAGTACTGAGCTTAATAATAATTCATTGCCTGATTTTCAATGATGTTTAAAAAAATGTTCGTGAAGAAACTGAACTAAATATAATATGAATAAAAACATTTCATGAGTCCAAGACACATCAGTCATTTTGTTTTTTATTAGCAAAAGTTATTTGTCAAACGTTTGGATTATTTTCGAAATTGTACACCTACGCTCCTTTTTCGCTTGCTTTATTAAACCACAAAGAAGCGAAGTTTTAAAAGAGCAATCGTTTCAGCTCTTTGAACCTTTATTTGAAATTCTTGATGCGATTCTAAGCCGCTTGAGAGTTATTAAATATTTAATACATTTTACAGTTGCAATTTAACGTTTTCTCCCTTTCTCCCCAGATATTCGTGGAATGCCTTAAACCGAAAAATCCAACTAACAGCATTAAATCGCCATCGCAACTGGGCAAACAGATCCGGTAGCTTTTCGCATTTTATCCTCTGCCTCTTATAAATGTAAATTTTGATCCTTGCGCCAACAGACGAAGATAAACAGTTCCCGGGCGTCGTCGGAAGTGCCTGTTATCGTTAAAATCGAGTTTACCCTTGAATCCCGATGCATCTACTCCGGATGATCAATATTAACAAAATTATTGAGTTTACAGCTTGCTTCCGATCACTGATTCCTGTCTAGTTATTTCAAGCGTACTAGAACGGTACCGAACCAAATATTGGCTTAGTTAAGGATCTTAACATAATTGTTAAGGTTTGTCTAGTTATTGGAAAGCTCCAAGCTAATGTTGAAGGCAAAACCCTGCACAAGAATATATAATATGCTGCAAGCACACTACAAATAAACCTAGATAATTTAAATCTGATGCATATCCAATAACCTGAACGGATGGAGAGCGTCCATTTTTAGTCCAACATTTACAAAGTCTTCTAGATCCAGGATCGTTTGCGATTTGAATCAAATTCTCAGAAGCTGCACATTGAAGTCTTCTTTGAAGTTTTAGAAGATTCCATGATGCTACTTGCACCCGATAAGAAATTAGGAATTTTTAGGAGCGAGCGTGCAGTTGTGGAAAAACCACCATTTTTAGTCCAATATTTACACAATCACCCAGAACCAGAATCTCGCACGATTTGAATGAAATTTTCACAAGTTGCGGCCTACGATGTCTTTTAGGATCAGTGAAAAATTCAAGAAGCAACCTGATCCAGTTAAGAAGTGTTGTTTTTCAAAATGAGAACGTGCGGATTTGTAAAAACATTCATTTTTGGTCAACAATTCTGTTGAAGATTCAGTGCGGTCTGAATAAAATTTTCAGTAATTATACAAGGTATTCCGTAAATACGTCAAAATATTTTAACAGCGTGTTCTCCTAGTCATTTTAGAGCGGGGTCTCCTTGAGAATTATTTCATTTGAGGTCTTATTTTTGAGATATTTGATCTCCAAAATGGCGAAAAATATTAGTTTTTGTTGTTTTTCTTTCAAACGGTTAAACATAGAATTTTCAATTTTAGTATACATTATAAGCTAATTGAGTGCCATTCGATAGTAGTGTTTTGTAGTTCAGTTTACTTTTATACAGGGTACAAATGTGGAACCCTTACTTTTGTTCAGAACTTTTTTGTGTACACCTAAACTTTTATCAACATAATTTGTTTAATTACTACAAGTTATTCATTAACGTTTTTTCTTAAGACCAATAGTTTGCCCGCAAAAAAAATAAATCGTTTTGATTTGATCAAAACTTTCCAAGCCGTTGGATTGGGAGAGGTCAAGAAGCTCCTATAAACTCGCCTCCTAAATCTCCCGATCTAAACGCGCTTGATTTTTACTTCTGGGGCCATTTAAAAAATACGGTATATTCAACAGAAGTCAATACAATCAAAGAACTTCAGGAAAACATATTTAATATTTCTAACGAAATAAGAACTTCAGTGCAAACTTTACGGTCTATAAATTTAAATTTCATTAAAATACTGAGATTATGCCAAGAATGTCAAAGTGACGAACAGCTGCTAAGTTAACATTAGAATAGTTATTTAAATTTAATTTTGTTTGTTTATATGGTTGCGCATATTGTTACCATGTTATTATTTAAGTAAAATTTATTCAAACTTAATAATTGTAATCTGAACCAAAATACACAATTTAGAAAAATAACTTATGTTGTTAGGAATCTACTAATAATGCGTACCAAAATTGTTATATGAAAACGTTATTAGATTTACAAAAATTAACTTAATTACTTACACATTTTGAGAACGACAAAGAAAACGATTTTATCTTTTTGCGGACAAACTAGTGGTCTTAGGAAAAAACCATAAGAGATAACAAAGTTGGCAAATAGCTTGTAGTAATTAACAAGATTGTCGAGAAAAGTTTAAGTGCACACAAAAAAGTTCTGAATAAAGCAAAAGTAGGAGAGGTTCCACATTTCTACCCTGTATAAAAGCAAATTGGACCACAAAACACTATCATAAAATGGAACTCAATTAGCTTATAATGTATACCAAAAAAGTTTCTATGTTTAACCGTTTTAAAGGAAAACAGTAAAAACTAATATTTTCTGCCATTTTGGAAATAAAATATATCAACAACGAATCCTCAAATTAAAAAAATTATCAGGAAGACCACCCTCTAAAATGACTAGGAGGACACGTTGTTAAAATATTTTAACATATTTAAGGTTGAAGTTACCGTATTTTAAACGAGAACGAACAATTGAGCAAAATCGTCCATTTTTAGTCCAACATTTACAAAGTCCTCTAGAACTAGAATCATGTGTCCTGTAGAACCAAGATATTTTGCGGTCACAACTAAATTCTCACAACCTGCAGATGCAAATATTTTCTATAGTCTGAGAAAATGTCTACATGCTCTTTAAGCTTGATTAGACGTTAGAGTAATTTAAAAGAGATGAAGCAAGGCAAGTTTGAAATACCTGCTGATCTGATTTTATTCTTCCCAGCTCCAAGATTGCTTTTCCATAATCGCTCTGTAGAAAAGTTGGTATTAAATATACAAAGGAGACATTGTGATAAAACTGTCAACTTGTAGAAAGTTCGGAATTGTATCAGCGATAATAACCCTCCTAATGCAAACGACTCGGAGGTAATTTGCCAGCTGAAAGCCATTGCACAACTTTCTAATTTTGTTTAAAATATCGGATCGAAAAGTTCCAACTGTTCAAGAACAAATATCATTAATCTTTATTTGGGATTTTCGAAACTACTTAAAAGTTTTTCTAGGTTCCGTTTATTTCAGTTCAAATGGAAAGTTTAAAGGTTTGGTTAATTTGCAACGAATGGAAATGGCAGCTAGTTATTTCACTGGCCATTCCCGCTTAATTAGTTCGAATAATGTTGCCGGTAAAGATCATCTTCTATTCTGTGCCTAATTGGGAAATTTTATTACCTTAATTTATCGAAACACGTTCTGTCCTAATTTGAATATTTCATTCTAGCAATTTTATCGCTGCTTGTTAATCTTGCTTGACATGATCTAGACATACTATAAAGTATTCTACAAATGTTTTTAGTTGTCACGCGAACAATAATCCGAAATCGCTGCGGGTTTTCAAAAACGCTGTTAGTTTTTGGCTCATTGTTAGAGAACCAGTTGAGCAATAGAGCTTGTCATCTAGGGATAGGGACTTAAACTGCACGTTTATTTTTACATAAAACATCATTTGTGAAAGTTTTCCAGTTTTAACTAAAAGAAAACTTCCTCACTCGTCAATAAATACGAAAATGCGGAATTTGAAAGCGTTTTTTAAAAGTTGGCGAAAGATGGATGAATTCTGAACTGACTTGAATGTGAATCTGGCCTTTAGGCTTCTTTTGCATAACAACTCAAGAACTACCAACCAAGAAAAATTGGACAAAAGTGTGATCTGAGAGTAATTAAAGTGCAAATTATGGCACGATTTGTCAATGCTTTACTTTGATTTTGGTGGATTTGTTAAGTGGTTTAAAACTATTTTCAGCTAAGATTTTCTGTTTCAATTTAATTTAAGCTGAGATCAGCTAATATTTTCACGGTTCATACAAATTGGGCAAAATATTCATCGGAGAGCGACTATTTAGGAATTTTTTTTTGAGGATTAATTGATAAACAATGGAGGATGGGGGGCCAGTAGGCATGAAGCAGGTAAAAAGGATTATTAATCTATAAACCCTTGACTTGAACTGGATTTTCTAGAAACACACAAAAGTTTTATTCAGTTCTCTAGTTCTTTTTTTCTGGACTTTAAACGAAGTTTTTGTAATACTATAGATTTTTTTCTTTCTTTTCACGACGAAGAATGCAGCGCACGGTAAGTTTAACATTGCTTTGCCATTGGCGGATAACAGGTTAAAACGTTGCGTGGGATCCTGGCCAAACCATTTAGATTCCGCGCTGTTTTTCCACATGTAAAAATTTAAACAAATTATTTTTTGTTAAACACGTTCGACGTGTGACGTGAGGAGGATCAATAATTTTAGTTGAATGGCAAATATTGAAATAAAGCCTACCTGTTTTGTTATTTTTAATTTTTTATTGTTGTACTACTACTTATTAACATTTCACAAAAATAAATTGGTTTGTTTAAATTGAGATCCAGATTTTAACATTTTGTAATTTTTGTTTGATTTTTTGCTTTCTGCTGCGTTTGAAAGCGGTGAAAGTCCTTTTGAAGTTATTAAAATTATAATTTTTTGTTAATCAGAATTTAAAAAAGGTTATATTTAAAAATGGTGTAGAAAAAAGTGAAAGATTCTTCCAAAAATCCGATGGAAACTGATGTTGCAAAGTGAGGTTACGACGTGAAGTTGATCATTTGCACTGAATGTTCCTTACCTGTGGTTTGGAGCAAGGCAGACGTAAGGGTGAAGCCAGTGAGGGCGACGAGGAAAAGCGACGAGGGGCGCAGGTGGATCGGATACGACGACGATGAAGTAGCTGAATCGGACGGGGAGGCCCGGGGGTGCGCACGCATGCCCATTCCGGCGCTTCCATACTCCCTGCTAGCGCACAGCACGCCTCATTGCCGCCGCCACTGCCACAGCTGATCTTGACATCGTTTTACCTGCAAAAAATAAAACAATCTTTAAAACACTTTCCAAGCATTAACACCCGAAAAGTATGGCAAAAACACAGTTCGCTTGCCTAAGAACTGAATTGGCGCAGTCAGTAGAATGCTATAAGCTCGCATAAAGACCATGCATCCAGTCAACTTGGAACAATTTAAACATTTGCCGCAATTGCCAATTGTAGGACTGAATCGGGAGTGAATAATTACAAAAATGAATGAAAATAACAATCAGGCTATCTTCAAAGTGCGTATAACTATGAAGAAGAGACAGAAAATGTGAAGTCTGCCCTCAAATAAGGAAACACCCACTTGCGAGCATGTAACATGTAACATGAGTCTATGGCATCAGGAAAATGAGATTGAGTTTCCACCGCCTGGTTGGGTGACGTCAGCGCCGATCACGTGATTCTCCCTTAACGTGAGGCTCGACATGTTTCTTCTCTTCCTTATACAGCAGTGCTAGTGCTGCCCTTGTCTCACCCGTATAATCTTGCAAGGTATTTCCTTTTGAATTGTCGTTCTATTTTCAATTTAACAAATAGCAGCTCTTTTTCGACAATAAAATTCTTCCAACTTCCTAATGGTTGCCCGTTCGCCAAGAGATCGACCATGTTTTCACTTGAAAACGTCGCTGTTGTCCTTTATTTTGTCGGTTCTGATGCGCTCACAATGAGCGGGACAAACAAAGACGTGATGCCTATGTTGGTCTAAGAGCCACTGGCGAATAAATCTCGCCTTTATTAACGTCGGATTAATTTTCTCATCCATGTTGATTGCCGCGGAACGAAAACGTCTTTAGATTATAGTTTGGGGACAATGAAATATTTGCTGAGCGACTCTTGTTTTTGTGTCGGCCAGTTTCGTGGTTTCGCAGCAAAATTGCGCGAAAAAGTTGTAAAACTGAGCGGTGGAACGGTTTTAATTTATTGCATAATTGGGGCCCAAGATTTTGGCAATAAAATGCTTTTCCGGTCTAATCCGGTCCAGAGGGGTTGCGATTTAATTTCCATCGGAAAAACACCTGTCAGCGTCAGTTCTTATTACGCACTAAATTTAAATCTACGGTCGGACAAGGACTGCTTAATTTCTTTCCAGGGTGTTTTAAATGAGGAAACGTGTTATTTATGTGACACCGGAAGCAGAGTCTCCGCAGACCAGAATGAGCGATTCGGCCAAGATTTACAGCTGCACCGTTAGGCGCACGAGTGGTATTTAGAGCGAAAAAAAGTTTTTCCGTCGAATTTTTCGACGTAAATAGTCGCCTATTTTAGCGCGAATTTTCTACTTTGGCAAACGGTTGTCGGTGATTTAATGACGAGTATCCGGATTCAATTGTGCAATCAACTACCAGTGAAATATTTCGAAACAAGTTGAGAAACAAGGAACTGTACGGGAATTACCCAAAMCTGGCTGAAAAATGATCTGCATATTTTTAATATGAACATTTTTTTGTCCARCTTTGGGCACTTATTTTGCTCAATAATCATTTATTAACTTCCTTCAAATTGACTGATCTGTTTGTTTTTTCAGAARAAAAAGRRASWWARTTTYAATKMAACMMATATTTTGMAGSYAAAAGGTTTTGGTCTGCAAAATATTTGTTTCATTGAAATTTTCTTTGTCATATAGTAAAGGTACTAAAAACAAACGTATATTTTAAAAATATTCAAAATTATACTATTGAATCATGATGATTCTTGACATGTAAAATATGGACAAAAATTGGGTAGTTTTATAGTTATGTAGGCGGCTTTAGCGATAAAAATTTACATTTTCATGGTGTTGATAAACGGAAAATTTTGCCGTCGTCAAGCACAAAATTTTAAATTTTTTGAGGAAAAAAGACTCATTTTTATTAATATCTGGCATGCAAATTATTTGCCTTTGAAAATAGATGGCGAACATAATATTCATTCAATTTAACGTGTTTTGAAACCCCAAAATCTAACTTTTTTAAATGACACACCCGCCTATTTTAGCTGTGTTTTATACAAGATAAGAAAATCTTTCCTTTTTAGCTAAGTCTAAACCTGTCTGTTCCAGTTTGCGAAAAAATCGGTTTTTTTTTCTAAACTTCTCCGTTATATTTCGACATTGCAGCACGGTAAGCTTGACAAACAATTACCGAAAAAATAAATAATTGATGGCACTCGTGAATTAATTGTTTCTACGTTATATTGCTAATTTTGTTATTGAGACTATTTTTTAATGTGTCGTTTTTGTGTTACAAGGCAGTTCTTTCCATGAAATATTAAATTATCTTTATCAAATTTCAATTATTCTCAAATTAATTTTATACTTTTTGTGAAAACTCCCGCTATACAATGTTTTGTAAATTTTAGCAGATAAGTATAGGAAGTGCTTAACCAAGATAAATTTTGTCCTGAATAAGTAACACTAACAATATCCGGGGTGTGCCATTTAAAAAAGTGAGGTTTTTGAGGTTGAAAATACTTTAAAATTAATGAATTTAATGACCGGTAGTTCAATGGACAAATATTTTACATACTAAATACTATTATACAGGGTGATTCAAAATTGGCGTCATTCCTCTGGAGGTGTTGTCTGGCGGTGTTTTAGGAGGGCAGAAAAAATAGTAACAAAATTAATTGTTATTAAAAACTGAGAAATTTGACAAAGCTATATCAGAAAAACGGCAACAATGTTTTTGAAGATAATCTGCCTAAGTAACATTCCGTAGAATTAACTTCGTAGAACTCGGGTAACCATGGATAAATACAGTGACAATAAGATAGATGAGGAGACACGGTCAATTCAACAGGAATCGTTGAATGGTGGAACCTATTTCGAAACTCATAACCTCGAATTATTCATTTGTTTACAAAGTACAAAAACATACATTTGAGTCTGTAACTGCAAACAAGTGCCTGTGTAATCACCCTATTATGCACTCTTCTCGAGCAGCTTCTCGTATTCGGTTAATTACCTCCTGCTCAATTTATACCGGTGTTCAGTAATCCATTGGTTTAATGTGATCTTACATACGTGGTAGGAATGTTGTTATTATTGACAAGGGCTATCCACCTGTAGCTATATGCTGACAAAAATCATCATTGGCGCTTTGAATTTTCATCAAAAAATTGTAGAAAAGATCTTTTTTAATTTCAAAAAGTTTCGTAATTTGAAGCAAAGATCGCAATTTTCATTTTTCAATACTTAAGTATTCCAATATACTTCCAATTAAACATGGAACACTTTCAAAATAACAAAGTTGAAATTCGATTTTTAACTATTAATATCTTCTAGAAATTATCGAAAAAGAAATTCAATATTTTTCTCGTACCTTCCAAGTGAGCCGCTATTACCCCTTAAAAGGAATGACGCAAATTTTGAATCACCCACTAGTATTAGAACATATGAAAATACGAATTTTTGTTCACATTTTACATAATTAAAAAATTCACATTCACTTAAGAATTAAAATAAAATAAAATGCAGGATGTCCCATTAGGAAAAAGTGTATTTATGCGCGTTTCGTGCCCCCTTCAATATGACGATGACAATTTTGACACAAATAATCCACCCTTGTACATGAAAAAAATAGCAAAAATAAATCCTACTCTAAATAAATTGAAATACTGAGCACAAATATAGCTGAACACACGGAAAAGGAAAATGTATTCAAACAATCCAGCTCCAGCTTGCATACATCGAACTACATAATAATGCTTGAATCGAATGCATGCAGTCACAACTACCGTTCTGAAACAAATAATTCAAAATCATATTCGCCGTCGGAATCCAATGCTCAAAAATACGTAGATAATCCCGGTTCAAGCGAATAATGCAAATAAACGAACAAAACCTAATGCAGTTCGGAAAGTTGCCGGAAAGCAAACAAGACGCAGTGCGCCCTTCTTGCAGAACTGTCTGAACTGCATGCAATTCAAATGGCTCTAATACAACAATTGAACACTAAAGCATGCGAATACCTCTGAAACACGGCCATGTTTGTTTGATAGGGTTTGTTTGGGTTTGTTCTTGTGATTGGAGAGAACGAGTTGGTGTTTTCGGACGAGCGGAGCGCGTAACGACGAATAAGGAAGCGGATGAACATTGTTTAATAGTGGCAGGTACAGGTAATGGAATTTCCCACTTTCCACGAGGAAACACAATTGCTGGAGTGTGGATTGTAAATTGGTCGCTGTCATTGGCATAATTATGCGCATAATTGTTGAAACACATTTAGCCAATTCGATGTTGCAGCATTTCCTTTAGATAAATTGAGTAATAGTGATCTCCTACTTTAAGCCCGCTCTGGACCAATCCTCTTAAGGCATTTGCATGGAGCATGCAAGCGATTTGTTGTTCCAACTTGATGTATTA